CTGCGTGTCAATCCCGCGACTTCTGCATGCTCAACGGTCAGGTTGTTGGGCATGCTTCTATATTGACTTTATCCCAAATAAACCTCGCGGGAGATCTTGACATGCATCTAGTGCACATGTACAGCCATCAAAATCTGATGCGAGGATTTCATCATCGAACTTTTCGGCTAAACTAATTAATTCTTGTCAGTCACCTTCGCAACACGCGGAAAAGAAACGTGCATACGTGACAGTCAAAGTACTAGTATGCGTACGTTCATGCGCACTTAGTCGCCAATGGATATCACCACCGATAAAGTAGTGGCATTCTGAATAATCTGCCGATATGGAAAAAAACCGCATGCAAACCGCAGAAAAAAACCGATGAGGACTGCCAACACTCCAGAAATGACGCAATGGGAAGAAAACCGTTCACGTGACAAGCAAGTGGCTAACTCAACCAGATGAAAATCTGTACAACGCATAATATTGTGCGTCATTCACAATAGACGCGATCTGCGACACCATACAGGACGCTCATTATAGCATGAACACGTTTGCCACGTACAATGAAAAAACAAGAAAACGTACCAAATATTTATTAATTGTGTGCTTGACTTACAGTTCTTCAAATGTTTAGTCTTAGTTTAGGATTTAAACGTATGATCAAGGACTTAAATATTCAGTTTCCAAGTTTTTGCAAATATTTGACCATTATCACATCAGGTTCCGCAAAATATACACAAACTATTGATTCTTACATATTATAATATGTGTTTGGCCATCGGTTTCGATTAGGTCAACCAAGTGCACCAACAGGTTGGTACAGAAGGTGAAGATCTCAGGCTTTAGTTTGAAATGATAGAGGACTGTTGGTGCACCTGGTTGATATCATCGAAACCGATGGTCAGACACACACAAAGGTGTCTACGAAGCAGTCTCACGACTGTTAAAAACTACTGGAGTAGGCATAGCCCATCGACCTCAGGCGAAATTCGAACTGCGGCTGACGAATAAAACTTGCAGACAAATTTAAATCGACTCCAAAAATGGTCTAAGGACTGGCTCTTGCCGTTCAATGAGAGCAAGTGCAACATCATTCAAGTCGGCAAAATCAGTCCTTCAAACGGTACAGTATACCGACTAAACGGCATACCACTGAAAGAAGTGAACGCCCAGAATGACTTGGGAGTCAGGATCACACCCTCGCTTAAACCCTCTCTGCATTGCGCAAAGGCAGCCAAGTTGGCGATGTCGGTTCTGTACCTCGTCAAACGAGTTTTTTTTGCATTCAATGAAGACTGCTTCACAAAAGTCCTCCGAACCTTCGTGTAGCTGCAACTGGAGTCCGCTATTCAAGCTCGGAGACCCTGGGCGGCGAAAAACATCAACATCCTCGAAAAGGTCCAAAGGCGTGCAACCAAACTTGTTATGGGGCAGGGCTCGCAGTCTTATGAAACATGGCTTTTGAATCTCAACCTCTTTCCATTGTGCTATAAGCAACTTTGGGGAGACCTGATACTAACATTCCGCATATTAAAAGTTCAGGAGTGTTGTCTTATATCAGAAGATTTTTTCGTGTTAGCAACAAAAACGAAATTGAGAGGTCATCCTCTAAAATTACTTGTGACTGGGGCCAGGCTGGACGCTCGGAAGAACTTCTCCAAAAAGGTGGTTGAAATTTGGAATAGTCTTCCTCTGGATGTCGTTATATCGGAATCTGTTGAGGTTTTTAAGCGAAAGTTGGATCGATATAGCTGTGCGCGCTAAATATGAACTGACTGCTGCCGACAAGTTAC